TGTTCCAATTATGCATCCATGAATGTAATGTGCTGACTTAAGTGTTATATTTCATAGAAGATGTTTTATGTTTGAATATGATACTGAATATAATATCAAGTAAAAGCAAACTAAATTAAATCGATTGTGACAAATAAAAAGTAAAACAACAACAGAAAATACAATGTAAAGTACTATGAAAAACTTTAACATGACAGGTATCTGTTCCAATTATGCATTCATGAATGTAATGTGCTACTGTCTTCAGAGGATATACTTTCAATAAAACTGGGGGAAAAAATCAATTTTGTTGAAAGCATATCCACTGAGCCATTTTATTTCAAGATCCCAACAAGCTCTATTTCAGTACTAGAATTGCATTCCACAATGCATTTCTCAAAACTAATTCTACCTTTTCTATGAGATATATGTTGAAGAAGTAATAAGGTAATATTTCAGACTGTTCAGACTGTTGTTCAGAAGAAGTAATATTTCAGACTGTTCCTAGGTTTTGCAACAAATCAACCAACACGTACTGAATATTGTTATAAGCCTTACAATAAGGAAAATGAATTTCCCAGCATAATAAAATCAGAGAGCATCAACCTACCAAATTAAAAAATTAGATTTTTCTTATAAAATTATTATCACAGTGAAAAAAATAGTTTATATTTTTCCATTATGCACCTCCCTTTCTTTCATAGACCATGCTTTTTGGTGCCTATAAAAGAAAAGCCAAATAGACACTGAGCACCAATGATAGTGCCTTCGGGATGTGCGTGCATGTGTAATATGTTTGCCACTTATAAACTATTCTTGTAACTAGAAATTGTTTACATTTTAAAAAAACCTGCCAAAATGCAGAGCAATATAAACAGACACACATACCAAAAAGCGTGGCAGGTGCATAATGGAAAAATAACTATTATTTTTAAATGATAACAAAATATGCAGAAAGCTCTCATTTTTTAGGAATAAACTGGCTCTAAATAGAATCTAATTGAAGCACAGGAAACTAGTTCTTAAATGAAAATAGTAAAAAATAGCACATGCTGGGAGAAAATTAGATATCTATGCACTGTCCCACTAACAGTATTAGTATTGTTGACAAAAGACACCAAAGTTGAGCAGTCAATTCTGTGCAATTCTGAAGAAATTCAAATAAATAAATTATCAGTATTTGACCTACCTCATTTTTGCATTTTGTAGAGATGTTTTTATTCATTTTTACTATTTTGTTGAGTCCCCAGATTTTACAGGAAGCTCTGTTTACGATGTTAGAAGTACAAACCTCTCACAGAAGTTAAAATACAGGGTATTTATAAAGTCCCATTTTGATGTTTAATAACTCAAAAATAATAAAGATAGATTAAAATTAATAACATAAATGGTTAGATAGACTCAAAAAGTTTCATGACCCTTGTCAATGAACTTTCACATGTGCCCTTTTCGTCACAAAGAGAATATCAAGTTGATATTCAATTTCACGCCAGGTACCGGCAAGCATGTCGGCATCCACAGAGGCTATTGCGGTTGTAATTCTGGCTTTTAGGTCATCAATGTTCGACACTAACATTGTCCTTTAAAAATCCCCAAAGGAAAAAGTCCATATATCAGGTGATCTGGGTGGCCAAGGACCTCCTCGCCCAAGTGGCTGAAGCTCTTCTAGTTGTGGAAATACGAAGTTTTCCAACATGTCTAAGTATATGACTGATGAGACCGTCTTTACTGTAAAAAAGAAAGGCCCAATGACTCAATCATGCATTAGTCCACACCACACATTAACCTTTGGGAATCCCTTTTGTGCCTCACGGTATTCATGGAGGTTTGGCATTAGTTGCCAAAAACAAAAGAGAGAAAAATGCAATTAATAAGCAGACGATATTTAGAAAAGTACAGATATTTAGACTGGAAAATGAAATTATCTGAAATTAACCACACGCGCAGATGATATTTACAAAAGTAAAGATATTCAAACCTGAAAAGGAAAATATATAAGTTATTCCATCCACAAATGCCATAAGTTTGTTTATATCTTCATTATTTTATGAGTTATTAAACATCAAAATGGGTCCTGGATTTTATAAACACTCTGTATATTAATATTCTGCCAGTCATGCCTAGTTTTACTTTTCCCCACTTAATAGATGTTAATTCCATCAACCAGACATTAAATGAACCAGAATGCAGTCATAGATGTGATTCTCCAGCCTTCCCCAACCACATTTCTTTTCAAATGGATAATATCTTGACCAATTTTTCTCACTGCACTGCCAATGTTTGTCTGTTTTCGAATAAAGTACTAATTAATACACACATTTTTGACAGTAGGCTGCCATAACTGAAAATAATTCATTGCTTGTTGTTCTGTAGAAGGCAGGTCCCAAATTTAAATAATTTTTTCAGAATGTAAGGAAAAATCAGAAATAGGAGTTAATTTACATTTTTGTTCAGAAAAAAGTGATTTATTAAGAATCAATTAAAAGTTATATCAAACAAAAAGCACAGATATTATAAGCCTGTTGTTACATTACACTTATCCATAATGCTTAGCAACAGTTTCGTGGTGATGGGATATTATGTAAGTCCTGAAAATTATTATTCATATCTTTTAACGAAAAGATAATACAGGTTTCTGCTGCTTAAATCAATATCCTTCAGACCCCACCACTTATAGCTTTTAACAAAGAGATAATATGTAGGGTTCTGCTATTGTAGATGCTTAAATCAGTGTACTTCAGACCCTGTTAGACTGACGAGCAAATTATTGCTCTTTGCGTTAAAAGAATTGTCCTACAAATGCTAAAATTAATAATTTTATTAACTCTTAACATAAGGCACTACTTTTGCCACTTGAAGGTATTTAAAATATTATTATATTTTAAATACCTTCAAGTACTGATATTCAAATTAAAGTAACATAGTCTGAGACTACACACAAAATAGTCTAGGACTGGACGTCGAAACAGACAATTCTCAGAACCCACATATTTCCAGGAAACCCACAAAGCAGATTTGAATGTTAACCAGTAATCGATTATTGCTTAGATTGGGATAACGTGATCCTTCAGAAGCAGAACTTTTGTCTGATTGGTTGATATCTACCCTGGACAGAGCTGCAACCAAAACATTTTCAGCAAGGTTTCAAAATATCCCGTGTCACCAATACATCGTTCCGTAGCTAAGCGGAACTTCGCTTCCAATGGAGCTGTTTTGTTTCTAGGAATCATCCTGCTTAAACCAGTGCTACCAGAATCTCGTTTCTCAGAAAAGTCCTATTTAGCAGGGACTGTCGCTAGATGTGACAACCTCTTAATATGTCTTTTAACATTGACTTTCAAAGTGATTAAAGTTGATATAAGCTTTGGCAGAGCTGGCGATAAAACAGAAACTGCAAGCGAGGCTGCCAGAAGTTCTATAACATTTAAATTCTTGCCTCATTCTGTTGAGGACTACAGAGAGATTAAGTTACAGTAAAGTTTCAAATAATAATTGGTTAATTAACATTAAATCCCACAAATATTGTAATATTTTTTTTTTTTCAAAAATGTTAATAAGAGTTGAATATTTTTTTTTTCGTATCCCCACCCTTTTTTTTTTCTTTTTTGTTGAGAAGTGAGCATTGTAATTCTGTTAAAACCAATTGAGTTAATGTGTTTTACATCATTAAATCATGTGTTTTTTGTGCATGCATATTTACGAAAGTTAGCTCATCTACTGTGTGACATAGAAATCTCACAATTACAAAAGGTAAATATTGATGCACATCGCGTATATTATCGCTCTTTAAAAACATAATTCAAAGAATGCAATTTATGTAAAATTTTTCAAAACGTACATGAGTGCTTTACTTTTTCCATAGATATAACTAAGACAAAAGTTCACAAATTCTTAATGCTATTCTCACAGCACATGAAACACTGTTTAATGACACCAGAAAGCAAAAGAACAGTTTCAAAACTGTTTTGCGCTAATTGGTAAATATACCAGATGATAAGCAGCAGCATTTGATGTTCAGTGAAACATGATATTTTCAGAACAGGAACATGAAACATTCATAGCAGTACCATGCCACAGTGCATAATTTACAAAATGATATTGATTTTCCTTTGTTTGTAATCTTGGGTTGGGGCAATCTCACACCCCAGAAATCATGTTTTTGAGTTAAATTACAAAATATTAAATTAAGACATGTCACACAAAAATCATTTAACATTTTAAAAACAAACAACATTCGAACTGGTAAAAGGTACAGTCGAAAATCAGGAAGTCTTTTGCCTAAATTGGAACAACTAATATCTCAGAAAAGCCTCTTACGCAAAGAAAAATACTATGCTGCTACATAAAGTTGCATTTAAACAACCAGTCATCTTCTTTAGATCATGACATATGCTAAAACTACACAAAACAAAATGCTCTAGTTAAAAATATATAAAATTAACTTGATCACAAGACAGCACTCACTCTTTCCTATTCCAGCTACTCTCTCTTTCCTACTTCTGTCATCAATTACAAAAATTTTCCTGTCCATAGATAATTACAACTCAATTAACCATAGCAGTCTTCTATGGCAGTTGATGAAGTCAGCAAATTGTTACTCCGAAGGTATTTATATTTTGTCTCAGACTCTTAATATAGCTTTTGTGTATGCTGATGTCCATACAGAATCAGAGCACAAAAAAAAAAAAAAAAAAAAGTTATTATGTAATGAATTACATTGTAAGCTAAAAGGAAGATAGACGCATTATATACAAGTAAATATAAAACAATAAATAAATAAAAAATGAAAGAACTTTATACAACACAGATTTTAAATGATATTCTACTTTTTTATAGTGATCAGGTATAGGTCTTCTTTACAATAATTTAAAAAAAAAAAAAAAAAAAAAAAAAAAAAAAAACTTTATTTAAATCCTACATTGGCATTTTCTCTTCCAATTAGAATTGCAGAAATTATTAATTATATCTTACAATTATAGAAAAATCAAGGATTATATTATAAAGACATTAAACATACAAACCAGAAAAATTTCTTTTGATCACTGTCTTCAAGTCTTCCACAACCTTTCCTGCAATCTTAACAGAAACCACCCTATCTTTTTCAATTTTCTTTAAATAACCAGTTATAGTTTCTATTTGGTTAAATCCAGAAACAGAACTAAATCCTTCATCATTTTCTGATACATCTTTAAAATTCTCTTGCTCCTAAATAAAAAAGATAAGAATTGCAATAAACAAAATAAATACATTTAAATTTATACTTTATAAATTAAATTTTTCACCATACAGTTAATGAATTATAACCATAAAAAATATCGATTTGAGAGAATCTCTTATCAGTGTACTTTTTACGTATATATTCAAAAAGTTAAGGATACAAATGATGAATTAATACATATACAAATATTTACAGTAAAAATATCTATGTATCTAAAATTAGTTACCTTAACCCGGCGGAAGTCGCACCAAGAAAAGTTATTAAGAGTGGGCGCGCGGGGTATCACATACCCCAATATTTAAAATACGATAAAAATAGTTTCATTTAGTTTTAAAGCTGTTTTTCTGTTCTGTGTATTATAAATGCGTTGAATAATAATTGGGTTTCAAAAAATTAATTTCCAAAATAATTAGAGTTAAAATTAAGATAAATGAAAATAATAAAAAACAAAAACATCATGCCCCTAAGTTCATTGCATCTCTAATACACAATGCTTATTTTATTTCTTCACACTTTGAACGAAATACATTCATGTGTTCTTGGCACAGAATATTTTCACATTTTAAACATTGCATTCACGTTCTTCTGTCCTTTTCGCGAGGGCAAAAAATTTATCACATCTTTCATACTTAGTTATTTCGAATTTCATGTATTCGTTTTAATTCTTCATCAAAACTTCTGCTTGTTTTGCACGCAATATGTCAGTTTCTTGGTAAAGTAGTAATCTCTGATCTTTGTTCAATACTTTTTTTCATTAATTGTAATGCTAAGTCCTTCAAAAACAGACTTCTGTTTCTGGTCGGTGGATTAGCATTTGAATGTAATATAATTCAAGTATTTATTACAGCAACATTCAGTGCAGGAAAGAAAATTACCATTGGCCACCTCCTTGTTATTCTGGCAATTGAATAATTGGCTGACATTTCATCCCCCATATCCACTGCTCCTTTAGTCATATTATAAAAACATATAATTCCTGACGCTTTATTTTCTCCAATAGTATTATCTATGGTATGATCGTTATATAATGTTGAAAGCATAAAAACAGTTTTTCCTTTTTTAGGAACATCAGGAATTAATGTTTTATCTTTTTCGAAACCAAAACAGTGTAGAAAATATTCCTAGTTTCATCTTTAGTTTTCGAAATGCAATCTTCATCACTTTCAAATATTTTTAATAAATCTCACAGACGTTGCATCTCCAATTCATAGGGAGTCAGTATTTTTACCATAATGCAGATAGAAATTTTTAAGAATTTAATGTCAAGTACTTTAAAATCACTTGCGAGTAGAAATATTTACTGTTACACTCTATAAATAAATTTCTAAACTAAATGTTCACTCAGAAAAACACTTTCGCGGACAGGCGCGTGGGGTGTGTCATACCCCAGTTCCAACAAAATACCGATAAATCTTTTTCTGAAACAAACAGGCAAAGAAACTGTTCTGAACGTCAACCACAACTAGAAACTCAGCTACTGAAATTAATGCAGAATTTCAGTTTCACAAGTTAGGAATATTCTACTTTTATGTAGGTTTGGGGTATGATACACCCCACGCGCTTTCCCGCGGGTTAAGAGTTAATTCTTATTCAACTGAAATATTGAATTGTAAATCTATTTTGAATTATTGTGCATTTGTTGTTATTTATTTATTTATCACCTTTTCTGATGATTTAAGATAATTTAATGTGCATTTTGTCTAATCTTTAATTTGGAGTCACAATACTTACATACATGTAGTTGCTTTTTTTCCGCTTGCAATATTTATAATTTTGAAAACAAATGTTGTAACTCTGAATATAGTTTCACAAGAAGTTGATAAAGAAACTGGTGATAACTAACAGATCTTGGTAAAAAACGTTTGGCTAAAAGGTGGCAATATTTGGCAACTTTTTGTTAACTTGTCAATATTTTGGAAATTTCCAGAAAACACAATACAGGACGGCTCTGGTTATAAACAACTTTTAAATCCTCCTCTTCACTTACAATAGATTTTAACATCAGCTTTTCTTTCGCACGGATTCATTATATATAGAGCACAATTTTCCTTTCTTAGCTTGAACTTATATAATTGATACATGCATTAAGTAAAGCAACCATTTGAGCTCACGAGCAGCCGAGTGGTAAAGTCACTAAACACTGGTGGTTCGGTCGGGGGTTTGAATCCTGGCAAATGGGCTGGCTGCATGGGTATTTTCACGATTTTCCTCATGTGTATACGACCCAGTTTCCCTTAGAAAGTCCTCCATAAAGGCATCTCTCCTCTTAGGGATATAGCCCTCAAGTGCTTTACCATAATCAAATAAACCAAATTAAACTAAGACAGCCATTTAACTAACAATGGACAGAAGTCTCATATTAATTCAGATAAGAAGTTTTACCTATATATAATACAGATGGGAGATAAATAATACATACAGTACAAATTTCTTTCCATATATAGTAAAAAGATTTTGTAAATGATACTCAGTCAAATGACTACATTTAGTTCTGTCTAACTCAAGAATAACTCATTAAGTCCAGGGCTGGTGCTAGAGCTGGTATGACCGCACCAGATGGCAAAATTTAGGGTAAGCAAAATTTTTAGAATTTAGATAAGCTCCAAGCAATAAAATTAAGAGATGGCAAAATCTTAACCAACATTAAATCATTCTAAAGCAAGTTTTCATCTCGAACATGTCAAAATCTCTACTTGCTTCTGAAGCAAGTTTTCATCCCTCCAGTCAATTTGCTTGCAGCTCTTTCCTTCACTGAAACTAACTAGTATAAAGACTCTGAAAAAGCCCAAATGTGATCACAAATGGATAGGCGCACCATGCTCATTACACTGTAAACTTCGTGTTAATATGTTGAAGGCGGCAGGGATATTTATTGTTCTTTTCGTGCAGCGGCGCTTGAATTAGCTGTCCATTTTACGGCGCGACGCTGAGCCAAATTATAAAAATTAAAATTTTAATATTAAAAAATAAAAAAAAATCTGAAAGGTTTTGGATTTTAAATTATGTCTAACGGGACTTTTTTTAAGGTTTTGTGTGTTAACTTTATTTATTAAATATCATGTTCTATGTACTCAAACCATAAAATTCAGTTCAACAGCAATATTGCAAAATAATTTTAAAATAAGCATATCTTTAGAATTTCTGGATACACACTTTCACAAGATGGAGATAAAAATGTTTTTTCTGTAAGACGTTGCCATTACTCACTTTTAAATCTTTGAAATTGTTATCAAAAATTCGTTAACGTTTAACAAAATATGAATAAATAATAAAACAAATTTAAAATTCAAATTGGGGCTTCCACATGCCCATATTCTATGGAAGATTCCGTTATTCAAAATTTGATGGCTGTAGGTACTATTGTTTTATCACAGTAAACATACATACTTTAAAACTTACATACTTTCATATAAATTCTTCATTATTTAATTTTCTTAAATATAATACAGGGCTCTAATATTTGGGTGGCAACAATTTGAAAAAGTGATTCGCCATTTATAGTTTTTAGTGCAAAACGTCAAAACGAAATTAATAGTCCTTTCAGGCCCCTTTGGACTAAAAATTATAAAATTAAAATTATTAAATATAAAATTATACAAATAATTAAATTATTATATTATAAAATTATACATTTGTAACATAATATAATAATTGTATTTTTTATATACAAGCATATTTCAGTATTTTTTTATATACAAGCGTGACCTCGGAGTCACCGGGGGAACACAGCTGACCAAGGGTCATGGAAAAAACAGTAGAGGGACACAAGTAAGATGTCAGAACTTTATATGCAACTTTAAAAGTCTACTCCAAATACTTGCGGTAACTTTTTGGGCATAAATAATCGTTTTGGAATAAAAAAATAAACAAAGTATAGGAAACAAATTTTATTATATACAGATGAAAGCCACACTCAAATACTACTTTTCTACATAGTCACCATACAAATTAAGGCATTTATCGTAGCGATGTACGAGCTTGGAAATTCCTTCGTCGAAAAATTCGGCCGCCTGCGCCTTCAACCACTTCGTTACCTCTTCTTGCAGCTGTGCGTCGTCATCAAAACGCTGCATAGCCAGCCACTTCTTCATTGCTGGGAATAGGTGGAAGTCGCTCGGTGCCAGGTCGGGACTGTACGGCGGATGAGGAAACAACTCCCACTTAAAAGATTCAAGAACTTTACGAGTGACATTTGCCGTGTGGGGCCGGGCGTTGTCGTGAATCAACAAGATCTTAGAGCTCAACATTCCTCTGCGCTTGTTTTGAATTGCTCTTCTGAGTTTTTGGAGAGTTTGGCAATACCTTTGAGAGTTTATTGTAGTGCCTCTTTCCAGGAAGTCCACCAAAATTACACCTTTTCTGTCCCAAAAAAACAGTCGCCATCATCTTCCTTGCCGACATTGTTTGCATGCATTTCTTGGGTTTTTGGGGAGGGGGAGAACTTGTGTGCCCCCACTGCATTGATTGCAATTTCGTTTCACAGTTCACATGTTTCACCCATGTTTCGTCACCAGTAACGATGCGATCGAGTAAAGAGTCACCATCCTTATGGTAAGCGTCCAAAAAGTTCAACGCTGCAGCCATTCGCTGATTTTTGTGGTCCTCTGTCAAGATTTTTGGAATCCATCTTGCACAAAACTTGTGGTAACCAAGCTTTTCGCTGATGATTTCGTGCAACAAACTTCGCGAAATTTGTGGAAAACTCAAAGAAAGTTCCGTTATTGTGAAATTTCGATTTTCACGGACTTTAGCATCGACTTTTTCGAGAAGTTCGGCGGTCACTATGCTGGGTCTCCCACTTCGATCTTCGTCGTGAACATTGGTTCGGCCATTTTGAAATCTTATGACCCACTGACGCACTCCACCTTCAGTGATAATGTTGTCCCCATACACTTCACGAAGCTGCCGATAGATTTCTATCGGTTTACAGTTTTTTGCAGTCAGAAACCTTATTACTGAGCGCACCTCGCGGGATTTTCAATTAACG